GTAGGTGATGGGGAGGAAGGCAGCAAATCACACTGCCACGTGTGTTCCTATGCAACAATTTTGCATGTTCTTCACATGTACCCCAAAACCTAAAATGCAATAAAATAAATAAATGGGGAGAAAAAAAAAACCTTAGGGGTGTTGACAGCCTGTCTCTCCTGGAAAATGTGAGAGCAGAAGAGCTGTGGTACAACCATTGTTAATGGGGGGCTATGGATGGAGAAGGAGTTCATAGAACCAGCTGGCAGTTAATGCAGATAGATACACATGCTTTTTATTTTTTTAACTGCTAGGAACAGCATTAAGCAAGATATATATTTTTAATTAAATAATTTTGAGAGATATTTCCTCAAAATTGCTTTATTTTTGTCTTCCACAATTTTAATAGGAATATATCTAACTTTTATTAAATGTAATCTTATTACTTTTCTATTACTGTGCATTTTATTCCACAGAGTTCACTTTTAATTATCCTTCAGATGATTCATTGTTTTTTTCTTTTTCCTAAAAATTTGTTTTAATTTATAAGCAATTTGCCTGAACTTGGTATTAGGAAGATAGAAATACATACTCATATTTCATTTTAGTGTTCCAAGACCTTGGGATGTCTAAGAATATTTATTTCTTTCCCATCTTAAATGCCGGGGCATCCTAAAATACTTCCTTAGGGAGTGGTTTTTGGTATAAAAAGAATGTCTGTCTGATGATTTCTTCTTATGCAAAAAGAGACTAATAGTATAATGGACACTCGGTTTCTATTAGCTAATTAGTTAAAACAGTACCGTTGGTCTGCTTAAGACTCTTCAGATTACGCTTTATGATTTTTTTTTTTTTTACATAAAGGGAAAGAAGGGAGTGTTAAATAGTATTACTAATTAATCTTCTTTTGATCCTCAAGTGTTTGTGTGTAATTGTCAAGGCTCATTAAATAACTGTTTGCTGTGGAGAGAAAAGAAAAGAGAAACCTTCTCCCAACCAATCTGAAGTTTCATGCTTCAAGCTCTTTCAAACAATGGAATTTTTTTTTGTTTACATAAGGCAAATAGTTTTTCTTTTTTTCCCCCCAGAATAGATAGCCCCAACATCTGCCTTATGTATTAATTCTACAAATAAAATCAAGAGTCTATTGTGTGCAAAGCAATAGGCTTCCAATCAACATTAGTTCTGATGCTGTCAATCAACATTAGTCAATCAACAATACAGACAAACTCTAAGCTCTTATGGAGCTTGTATTTTAATGGGCAAGGCTAGTAATAACTATGATATAATAGTAAATACATAATAATATGTAAGTTATATAGTGCATTAGAAGGAGAACCATGCTATGGGAGAAAATAAATGGAACTATGCATAAAGTGAATTGGGAGCATGGGGCTATGTTGGAGATGGTAATTTTAAATGGGGTAATCAGGTTAGTCTTCACTGAAGTGGCTTTTGTGAATAGACCTGAAACAGCTAAAGGTGCAAGTCATATGAAATCTGGAAAAGGAACAATCTAAAAAGAGGGAAAGGTAAGTGCAAAGGCCCTGAGTCAAGATTGCCTAGCTTGGTGAGGGACATCTAAGCCAGTGTGGCTAGAGCTGGGTGAATGATGGGAAGCAGTAGGAGATAAGGTTAGAGAGGTCAAATTGTGAAGGGGTTGTAGGGCCATTGTAACTAGGCTGTTATCTGAACAAAATGAAGAGCCACTGGAGACTTTTGAGCAGAAGTATGTCCTGATAGATTTATGCCATAAAGGGATTACTTTTCCCAAACCCTAGAGCCCACCATGTGCCAGGTACTGTTCTGATGCCGTCAATCAAATATCTCAGTCAACCACAATACAAATTCCCAAACCTCAAACAGCCTACATTTTGTGTGTCTGTGTGTGTGCTGGAGATAATGAGTTGAGAGATGTTGAGTTTGAGATATCTGTTAGGCATCCAAGTGGAAGAGTTGAGTCAGAAATTGATTCTGTGAATTTGGAGTTCAGAAGAGAGGTTGGAGTTACACAGAAGCTGTGATTTCATCAGCCTTCAGATGAACCTAAAACCATGAGCCTGATTAAGATCACCTAAGGGGAGGGAGTGAGGAGGAAGAAGAGCACTGGGTTCCAGGACAGTCAAATATTAAGAGGTATAGCAGAAGAAGAGGAACCAGCAAGTTGGTTCAGTAGGAGCTGCGATTTTGCTAAAGAAGACAGAAAAGGAGAGGCCAGTAGGGTAAGAAGGAAACCAAGGGAGTGTGGTGGCCTGAAAGCCAAGAGGAGAAAGCATGTTCAGAAAGAGTGAGTGATCAGTAGTATCAAATTTTGATGATGAATCAAGTACAATAATTCACTGAGTCTTAAACATGCATTTTTTTTTTATATTTAATGTCTCTGAAATCAGAATGCAATTTACAGTTGATGGCATGTGACAGTTTAATTGGCATATAAAATAATGACATCAGATCAGAAGACTGATAGTTGAACATTGGATTTAGTCAAGTGCAGGCCATCAGTGAACTTGACCAAAGGGTTTGAATGTAGGGATGCAGTGGGTTTAGGAGCAAATGAAAGGAGAAAAACTAGAATTCTTTCAGAGTGTTGCTGTGAAGGGGAGCGAAGAACAGGGTAGTGGCTGGATAGGGAAGTTGGGATATAGAGAGTTTTTGGATTGTTAAAATTGAGGAGATGAAGCATGGCTGTGTGCTGATAGGAATGTTTCTGTAGAGAGTGGCATATTTATGATTTAGGAAAGAATGGCTGAGTAGGCCATTGGAGGAGGGAATGATGGCCTGAATGGTGATGCCAGCCTTGGGTAGCAGAAAGGAAGGTAGAGCTGTGGGGAGCAGATACTCAGGTGTGTGAAACAGATGGAGAAGCATGCTCTACTCTGACTGCTTAAGTTTTTTCCTAGTGAAGTGGAGGAAGCAAGGTCACTGACTGGGAAGAGAACAGGGAAAGAAGGGTTAGAATTTAGAGGAAAGAAAGATGTAAAATGGTTAAGAAAGAGAGTGAACGGACTGGCAAAATATCAAAATATTATCAGGCAGTGCTGAGGTTTGGTTGGGTAATTCACATGGAACTATTTGTATAGTTTGCCTGATTTTCTCCAGGGATGCAGGCCCTAAGAGGGCACAGAGTTGGATTTCAGAGTTGGAGCTGTGATTTTGCTAAGGAAGTGCGTTTGCTTAGGTGAGGGCCCAGGGGGTTGAGGGTGTCTATGAGAAGGGGTTCTAATGATTGACCGTGTGCTCTAAGCAGGGTAGGGAGATTGCTTGTCTGCCCATCTTTTCCTTTTCCTGTCGTAATAGCTCTGATTACTCACACTATAGGAGAGTGGCCGATGTGTGTGGCGTGGCTAATGAGCTTTCAGTTTGTCTGTTTTGTTAAAGTATCCCATCCTTCACTCTGAGCACCAGGTTTACTCTGCCACGATGGCAGAGCTGGCTTCATGAGGCACAGGTCAGAAATTGGTGGGGAACTACAGAAGCATTGTTGAACTGTTCAGATGGTTCTGATGTTACATGTCTCTCTCAATAGACCTCCCATTTATGATATCCCATGCCCAGCCCTATATCCCTTCATCCAACACCAAATACGGACTGCAAAACAATGAAGCTAATAATACCTGAAAAAAATATTTCTCTAATTTGCTCTTTTTCCTTTTTTCCATGTTTTAGGCAATTGATGAATTAAGAAATAAAGGCTTGCCTGCCATTCTGATTACAATTGGCCAACCGCATCTCTCAAATAAGTTTTATTTTGTTAAAGCATACTTTTTCCTAAGTGTGGCTGCAACAATAAATTGTGTCCCAGAAAATAAACTGAAAACAGTAATTACTGACAGGAGCAAACCAAACCTACCAAACTTGAATGGTAATTGTTTTACTTTTTGCTTATTTCCCTTTCTCCTTCCTATCCCTAACTACTGTCACTGCCCCCACTAATCTATATAAATGATCTAGTATATATTCCTCCACAGTTTTCTCTGTGCTCATATAATGACACACTTATGTACTATGTCTGGGTGTATGCACATATATATCCCTGTTTATATATATATCCATATTCATACACTTTATATATAATGCACTATCATATTTACACATACATAATAGAACTTATTTATTTACATGATTATAAATTTATAATAAATTTATAATTTGTTATATTTGTAAATATACCATTTTGTAAATAAATTATAAATTCTATCATGTATGTGTAAATATATGATAGTGCATTATATTTGAAAAATGTGAATATACCATTTACAAAATGGTATATTCACATTTTTCTGCATCTGGTATTTCCCATGCAGAAAAACTTCACTGAAATCACTCCAAGTCTACTGCTTTGCTTTGGTCCACTGTATTGACTGTATAGTATTCTAGGCCATGAACATCCCCCATGAATGTTCCTTGGAAATGAAGTGCATGCACAGTGCAGCAATAGAGGAAAGACTGAATAAGAAGGAATGTGTACCTCCATTGCTGCACATGCACTTCATTTCCAAGGAATATTGCTGCAGTGCTACATACCCACATGGCATAGCGTATCTTTCTGTGGGGCATATACCCCATGGATGGGATTTATGGGCCATAGGGTAATTTCCAATTGTATTAGATGTTGCCTTAAAAATAGTGGTTTTCACTATTCAGCATGATGTTTTAACTTTGGGTTTTTCCATAGATATCCTTTATCAGGTTGAGCAATTTCTCTTCTATTAGTTTGTCAAGTAATTTTTATCATGAAAAGGTGTTGAATTTTATTAAATGCTCTATCTGCATCTATTGGGTGATTATATGGTTCTTGCATTTTATTCTATTGATATGGTATATTACATTAATTGATTTTTGGTTATTTAACCAACCTTACATTCTTGGGTTAAGTGCCACTTAATCATGGTTTATAATTTTTTTGTAGACGGAGTTTCATTCTCTCTTCCAGGCTGGAGTGCAGTGGTGTGAGCTTGGATTTAGCCAAGTGCAGGCCATTGGTGAACTTGACCAAAGGGTTAGGATGTGGGGATGGAGTGGGTTTAGGAGCTTGGCTCACTGCAACCTCTGCCTCTGGGTTCTAGTTATTCCCCTGCATCAGCCTCCCAAGTTGCTGGGACAACGGGCACCTGCCACCATGCCCAGCTAATTTTTTGCATTTTCAGTAGAGACAGTGTTTCACCATGTTGGCCAGGCTAGTCTCGAACTCCTGACCTCAAGTGATCCGCCTGCCTCTGCCTCCCAAAGTGCTGGGATTACAGGTGTGAGCCACTGCGCTTGTCCTGTAATTCTTTTTACCTGTTAGATTCTGTTTGCTAGCATTTTGTTGAAGATGATTGCATTCATACTCAAGAGATATTTGTCTGTAGTTTTCTTGTAGTGTCTTTGTCTAGTTTTGATAACAGAGTAATACTGAGGCCTCTAATTTAAAATGTAAGTTTCATTATTCAGGTATGATGAGACCAACAGATCAGATGACTGCCATTGAGAAAACAGTTGCAGTTTCCAAGAGGAAGGGCGTATAATACAGCGGTGGGAGAAGGGCACTCAGGGAAGCTAGGCTGTGTCTCAGGAGGCAGAGGACAGTGGGAGGAAAACATGAGCAAGAACTTTTATGGTGGTTGCTATGCAAGTGGATTGAGTAAAAGCAGGGTGAACAGGCTTAGTATCTGAATAATTTTAGTTTGAATAATTTTAGTGAGCCCTGGGCAGGGGTGCTAACAATAGCCAAGGTATGGAACCTAAGTGTCCAGCAATGGATTAATGGATAAAGAAAATATGGTGTATAACACAATGGAATATTATTCAGCCATAAAAAATAATGAACTCCTGTCATTTGTAGCAACATAGATAGAACTGGAGGACATTATGTTAAGTGAAATAGGATATGATTCTTAATGCTCTGTTTTGTACTACTGATTTTCCTGGCTTCCTGTGTTAATAAAATAGTTAATTTGATTTTATAACTGAAAAATATTTGTTAGCTCCTATGTTATTTGAGAATTGAGAATCTAACAGTGAAAATAAACACAAAAATACTATCTTAAAACTTGTTATGATAGAAAAATACAATAAATCAAATGAATAAAGGTATTGTGGGTTACATGGTAACAAGTGCTTTGGAAAGCAGGAAAGGGGGTAGGGAGTGCAGGAGTGGGTGTAATTTGAAATAGCATTGTCAGGAAGAGTCTTACTAAACAGATGACATTTGAGCACATGTCTAAAAGAGGAAGGGGAATGAGATGTGAGTTTCTGAGGAAGCGTATTCTAGGTAAAGGGAACAAATACTGAGACCCTGAGATGGGTGTGCATCTGGCATGCTTGAGGAACAGCTGGAGCCCAGTGTGGCTGAAGCAGAGTGAACAAAGGTGAAAGTTCTAGGAGATGCTGTCAAGGAGATAACAGAGTGATTATGGAAGGCTTTGAAGGTCATAATAAAAAGATTTGTCTTTTATTCTGAGTGAGTTGGAACACCATTGGAAAAGTTTTAAGAGGAAGAGCTAAAAGTTTCTAAAGCCTAACTCTGGTTTCTGTATTGAAACTAGGTTAGGCTATGGGGTTGGGGGAACTAAAAGGGTGAATAATTATAGGAGTATAATCATATTTCCTTTTAGAAGGCTATTGAATTATTCAAGTTAGAGCTTATGATGGCTTCAACAAGAGTAGTAGCAGTGGAGGTGGTGAGAAGTAGCCAGATTCTGGATATGCCTTGAAGGTGGAGTCAAAAAGATTTGAAAGGGAAGACCAGAAGGTCACTTTGGGGTGTATAATCCCAGCACTTTGGGAGACTGAGGCAGCTGGATCACTTGAGCTCAGGAGTTCAAGACTAGCCTGGGCAACATCTTTACAAAAAATCCATCTTTACAAAAAATTCAAAAATTAGCTGGGTGTGTTGGTGTGTACCCATAGTCCTAGCTACTCGGGAGGCTGAGGTGAGAAGGCTTGAGCCCAAGAGGCGAAGGTTGTAGTGTGAGATTTTGCCACTGCACTCCAGCCTGGGTGACAGAGCCAGACTATGTCTCAAAATAAAATAAAATAAACCTAGAATTAATATTTAAACTAACCATAGATATCCTTGGTCCCTCCAAAATTTTGTGTCTTTATAGAGATATATTCAAAAAATGATGGAGGTTCATTTTATCATCTTACAAACAATGAGGTCACTCTTAGCATGCTAAAGGTAAGTTTGAAACTGTTTTCAAACTATAGTAAGTTAGTTACCAAAATGCAGTATTAGTCCCTGGATGGGCCCACTTTCAGAGTCATGCTTGCTCTTGTGAGAGCAGTTACCTTTTCTTGCATAAGAATGGGTTGGAGCCAGAGATGGAGTTTACTCCTCATGAGAAAAGTGGATGTCTAGTGGTGTCAGGTTTTGACTTCACAACCTGATTAAGGTGCTTCAGAAAATATGATTCATTATTTGGTGTGATATGAGTATTCCATGCCCTGTTTATCATTTCCCAATAATAGTGATGACAATGGCAACAGCAGCTTTTGCATGACTATTTAATTTCTATAACTTTATGATGTAGGTGGTAACCATTTTTGATCTGTGCTGTGCTGAACCATGAGAAAACTGAGGCTTAGACAGTCTAAGAATTTGACTAACATCATACAACCAACAGAATACAGATCCAGGAGAAGGACTACATCTTTTTGATTCAAAATCCATGTTCTTAAACGTTATACTAAATTGCCCTAATATTTCTATAATATTCACTACTCTGCACAAATGCATTTTTAGAGGCCTGTCACTTGAAAGATTGGTCTCTTTATCTTCTGCCATGTCAGGTTGTTATTTACTATTGATTGTCTACTGTAAAATATCATTATCTTCACATTACCAACTAGGTGACCATACTTTAACTTGAAATACAGTTGGTCCGCATTAGTCACAGATTCTGTGTTTGCTAATTTGCAGATCCACTGAAATTTATCTGTAATCTGAAAATCAATACTCTTGGCACTTACTTGGCTATCCGTGAACACACACAGAGCATAGAAAAATTTGAGCTGCCCGATGCACACATTCCCAGTTGAGATGAACAAGGAGATGCTCTTTTTGTTGCCACCCTCATACTGTAAACAAGTGTCCTTTTCATGGTCTGTTTATTACCATGCCCTTTGCATTTTTGTCAATATTTACAATGACTCTCCAGCATAGTGCTGAAGTGCTGTCGAGCATTTCTAAGTGTAAGAATGCTGTGGTGTCCCTTATGGAGAAACTATGTGTGTTAGATAAACTTCCTTCAGATATGAATGCTATTGGCCGTGAGTTCAAGGTTAGTGAATTAACAGTATATGTGACATATGCTGTTATATATCCTTAGCCATAAGCACACAATAAACAAGGCTATGCATTGAGCAGTTAATGAAAATGTTGTGACCAGAGGCTCTCAGGTACTTTTCTCCATCTCCCCGAGGAGCAATGCTTCAGTATCCAGTAATCAGTGCAACAACTTTAGAGGACATAACCACTGTGATTAGTAAGCACCAGCTGTGCCTACAAAAAGGGGTCACTGTCATGTATGCTTATGCTTGCTTTTACTTTCCTTTTCATTTTCTGTTGCCTTTTCACTTTTTGCTGAATTTTCTTCTCTGGTGATTAAATACAGAGTTCTTTTTTGGTCTTCCATTCATTGTTACTTTTCAGTACATGAAAAATCTTTGCTAAAGAAGAAGGAGACATCATTTGTATTATTTTTGAATTCACATGATATATGGTATCCTTTCCTTAGTCAACTTTACTAATGGAAGCTGAGGACAGGCTAAACATCCTTCTGTCGGAGGTGGAACATCCAGGGCTCAAGACCCTGTCTCAGTGCTCCGCTGGCGAGCTGGAGATTGTGGTGGAGGCCAGGCTTCAGCTGGCTGCAGCTGCTCTGCAGAGGCATCGGGCAGCATACAGGTGTGTCTGTCTATGCACAGGGGAGGGATACCTTGGAAGAGAGTTTCTTCACCCTAGTTTGTTAAAGGGACTTAAGTGTTATGTAAGTTTTAGAAATTCCTACATCCGTAGCATACTTGCTTTTTATTATTCAGGGAAGTTTTCATACATGATTACACTTAAAATTGTAGTTCTGGCTGGCCATGGTGGCTCATGCCTTTAATCCTAGCACTTTGGGAGGCTGAAGGGGGGGCAAATGACTTGAGGTCAGGAGTTCGAGACCAGCCTGGCCAACATGGTGAAACCCTGTCTCTACTAAAAATACAAAAATTAACCAGGCTTTGTGGGGGCGCCTGCGATCCCAGCTACTTGAGAGGCTGAGGCAGGAGAATCACTTGAGTCCGGAAGGCACATGTTGCAATGAGCCTAGATTGCGCTCCCGCACTCCAGCCTGGGTGAAAGAGTGAGACTCTGTCTCAAAAAAATAAAATAAAAAATTACAGTTCTCAACAAAGCAATTATTTTATGAAGGCACACAGCTGGGTTGTTTAATTTCATATGTAGAATGAACAAATTAACAATGCTTTCATTTTTTTATACATTTAATTTACTTTTTAAAAAGACTAAACCTTTTTACAAATAAAACCTATGGAGTGATTTTTTTCTAAAACACTGAATTAAAATATTAAAAACAAACTCTATTTTGAAAAAGTAACAGTTTTTGCAGCATATTGCACTAAACTATTACACTGTTGTGGGTGGCTGATTATTTCAATGTGCTGTAATTGTTATTGTCAGCTCTTTTATGTAGTTTGTTCATCAATTTATTTATTTAGTCAACCAATATCTGTTGACTGTCTCATTGCCAGGCCCTGATCTAGACACTAAAGATTTAAATATGCATAGAATAGAATTTATGTATCCGTATGCTCGCAGATATATAAGCAATCAGGTAGAGTGGTAAAAATAATATAGTGATTTTTTTCATATTTAATAATATGGAAATCTACATTCAAGAATTTCCCCATGCTATTTGTGATAAACACTTCTATCATGAGGTCCTCTGACACATTCAATAATGATTCATCTAATGGTGATTCAATAATGATTCATTTAATAATACACAAATTTCTTACCATTCATTAATTTATTTAAAAATAATTTTGTGCACCTACAATATGCTAGGCACTGTTTGAAGCTCCTGGGACATATCAGTGGCCCAATACTCATATATAGAATCTAGACAAAATATATAACAACACTGACCAAAATCTTGCCCTATATTCTAATAGATAATAAACATGCTGACAATAAACTATGAACACAAGTAAATTACAGAGTGTGGACAAAAATGACAAGTGCTGTGGAGAATATAAGGAGTAGAGGTTGGAGGGGGAGGTGTTACCATTTTAAAATTTTGTGATTGTAATAAAGAGTGTGACTCCATTTTGATGTTCAATGGCTGACAGCTTTCAAGCCCGACCACTCCCCTTCCTCTGCCCCACGCCCAAGCAGAGCAAGCAGATAAGAAAGCCCAGCTAGCTGTTCCCTCCTTTGGTGTTAGTGGGAAATTCAAACCATGTAAGTCCTGGCCCACGTGCAGGAACTCTTACCCCAGTGCCACCCACCAGCCACCATGCAATTCCGAGCCAGTCTCTTTTCCTTGCTCTCTCCATACATTTTCTCACCTGTTTGGGAACCTGCGCAGATCTTCTTGGTAGATCTCATTATCTGAGCAGTACACCCTTTCATACCTTCTTGATGTGGGTGTGTGTGGGATCAGTCTTGACATCTGAACTACATTTTGGGTGGTCAGGGCAGGCGTCATTGATGAGGTGACATCTGAACAAAGTACTTAAATGAGGAATTAACCATGCAAATATAGAGAAAGTGTTCCAGGCCATGGGAACATGCTTGATACACGTTTGAGGGACAGCTCAAGGTCTCTTGTGGCTAGGGCGGAATGAGTTTGGGGCAGACTTGCAAGGGAGATCTCCAAAGAGGTGACTGGTGGACAAGGAGATTACAAAGGACCTTTTGGCTGGGTAAAGACTAACTTTTACTGTGAGTGAAGCGGGGAGTCATTGTAGAGTTTTGACCAGAGGAGTGACATGATCTGATTTTCATTGTAAAGGGATGGCTCTTGCTGTTATTATGAGAATTGATGATAAGAAGAAAAGGGTGTGAAAACAAGGAGATGAATTAAGGAGGCCATTATAATAATGGAAATACGGTGCAGTTTTACCAGTGTGATAGCACTGGAGGTAATGAGAAGTACTTGGGTTCTGAGTAAATTTTGAAGGTAGAGCCATTCGATTTTATAGATATTGTATGTAAGTTGTGAGAAAAAGAGAGGAGTCAAAAAAGAAGTGGTTATTAACTGAAATGGGGAGGTTGTGGGGGTGCAGCTTATTTAGGGGAAACATCAGGAGTTAAAATTTAGATATATATAGTTTGAGATGTCCCTTAGATGTATAATTGAAGATGTCAAATATTCTGAGAGTCTTTAGAATATAGGCAGTGTTATTCAAATGTTCCCAGCATAAAGAAAAGATAATTGTGTAAGGTGATGGATATACCAATCCCCCCTATTTAATTATTATACATTATGTAATGTATCAAATATTACACGTACCCTGGAAATATATACATCTATTAAGCATCAATAAAAAATACAATCATAAAAATCATACAAATTTAAAAATACAGTGTAACAACTAAAAAATAAATAAATAAAGGCAGAATTTTAATACTGAATAAGCTCCGTTAGGGAGTAGAAATAGATGGAAGAGAGAAAAGGACCAAGGACCAAGCCCTGAGTTTTGTACTCCATCTTTACGAGACTGAGGAGGAAATGAGAAGCCGGCAAAGGAAACTGAGAAGTGGCCAGTAAGAAGAAAACCAAGAGATTATGGAATCCTGAAAGCCAAGTGAAGAAAGTGATCAAGGAGAATGGAGTGACCAACTGTGCCACAAACTTCTGATAGATTGAGTAACATAAGAATAGAGAGTTGACCACTGGATTTAGCCTAGAGGCTAATGGTGACCTTCACAGAAGTAACCTTAGAAGATGCTTAGGAAAGATTATGTTTAGAGTGGTTTATGAGAGAATGGGAAGAGAATTTGGAGCCTACAAATAAAGATGATTCTTTGGAAGAGCTTTACTGTGAAGGAGAGCAGAGAAAGAGGGTGACTGCAGTTGGTAGAAGTAAGGTCAAGACAAAGTCTCTTGAGAGAGAGGGAAATGAAAAAGAGCCAGTGCAGAGAGCAAATGTGATGTTCTGATATGATTGGCACACAATAGGGTAGGAGCCCAGTCCAGTCTTCTCTTTTTCTCTAATCTAGAATAAAGTTATCTTCTACCTTGGGGATACAGACTTTTTCCATCTGTGTTCCTGGCAGGCACCTAGTCTCTGGGGGCTAGCCGGGAGACTGGGTGCCTGCTAGGAACACAGATGGAAAAAGTCACCCAAGAGAAATCAGTTCCCCAGGCTGATGCCATTAGAAATTGTGGGGTCCAAATTGGCATGATCCATGAAATGTAGAAACCCTGAGAAATTAGCTTAAAATGGTCCTGACATCATAGGGCTAGAACAGAGGCAAACCCTGAACAGTCTCATAGAGGTTAACTCGGGAAATACAAGACTCTTGTGGAAAATAATTCCCACCAAAGATAGCACAGAATCAAATACTATAAATCAAATGAAGAAACAGCCATAACAGAGAGTTAGCAGACACAGTAAATGGCAGACTTTACAGCCCAAGAAATAAACTGTTCAACGATAGGAAGGATAGAAGAGAATCTACAAAGCAGCAATGAGACAACATAGAAAAGGAACAGATGAATTTGGAAAACAGCCAAATAGAAATTCTGTAAATGAAAAAATATAGTCACTGAATGAGAAAAGAAATGATCAAGTTGGATGAAAAATATTGTTTTTTCTCTCCTTAATTTTTTAATTTATAATGAAATTCTGTGCATTAAACCCCATTCAAATTGAAATTTGGAAGAGCAGTTACATTTAAGACTTTTAGACTGTCATTCTGTTTAAACAGGAGAATCCCACTTAACGTGTTTCCCAAAGGGTAAATCAATTCAGCAGAAATCCTCATTTGCTTTGATTGGAAACATATAATCATCTCATCAGTATAAGCCTATAAGCTTTGACTGAAGGCTATTTCATGACTAATCACATCTAAATCTAGATGACAGTAGAGGCGTTGGGAGATTTATATTTTTTTGTAGTTTCTAAGCAGTGATGAACATCTGTAAAGTATGTTTGGAGCAGTGATTCTCAAAGTGTGGTCTGCACATCTCTGGGGGTGTCTCCTAGACCCCTTGGGCATGGGGGTGCCCATTTTTATTAACCATGTTAATAAAACTAAGACATCATTTGCCTTATTCACTGTGTTATTCACACTGATGCTACAGAAACAACAATAAGACTTCTGGCGTCTCACCATGAATCAAAGCAGCAGCCCCAAACTGTACTAGTAATCATTGCTGTCTTCACTGCTGTACACTTACACAATTAAAAAAATAATGCCAATTTCACTTAAGAATGTCCTTGGTGATGCTATGCAGCCATAAGAAAGAATGAGTTCATGTCCTTTGCAGAGACATGGATGAAGCTGGAAACTATCATTCTCAGCAAACTGACACAAGAACAGAGAACCAAACACCGCATGTTCTCACTCATAAGTGGGTGTTGAACAATGAAAACACATGGACACAGGGAGGGGAACATCACACACTGGGGCCTGTTGTGGGGGTGGGGAGATTGGGGAGGGGATAGCATTAGGAGAAATACCTAATGTAGATGACGGGGCAATGGATGCAGCAAACCGCCATGGCACGTGTATATCTATGTAACAAACCTGCATGTTTGGCACATGTACCCCAGAACTTAAAGCATAATAATAATAAAATTAGAGATTAAAATATAAATAAATAACTGCTATAAAAGCATAAGTAAAAAAAAAATGCCCTTGGCGAAGGAGTAGAATCTTGTACTTACAAA